TGACCGAGATACAACTATTTGAAAATCTGGAATCTGAGGGTGCAAAAAAATCTAAATATTGAGAAAATCATCTTTAAAGTTGTTCAAATGAAGTTCTTAGCAATGCATATTACTAATAAAAAATGAAGTTTTGATATATTTACAGTAGGAAATGTATAATATATCTTTATGGAACATGATCTTTACTTAATATCCTAATGATTTTTGGCATAAAAGAAAAATCTATAATTTTGACCCATACAATGTATTGTTGGCTATTGCTACAAATATACCCCAGCGAATTAAGACTGCTTTTGTGCTGCAGCGTCACATTTGATGTGCAGAACTAATTCAAACCTGAGCTAGTTTTGACTAATCAATGCAACCCCAAACATTACGATCAGATCTGCTCCCTCAAAACAGCCGAGGCTTGTTAAAGTTCACGTGTGACTGACGGAGTTAACGATGAGGTACGAAGGACGCGTCCCGCTCGAGACCAAGCACGGGCTTTTCTCTGATTAGTGTTTGGGGATTGAGGATTCCAGGGCAGCGTCTGTCCTATTTGTGCGACTGCTAAAAGAAGAGGTATAATTTACAACAGCAAACAAATGTAATCGGTGTTCCCAGACGTCCCCGGAGCATCAGGACTAAAACACACAAGCGCTTCATCCTTCAGGTGAGGAGTGTAACGCAATCTGTGACACTCACAATGTGTCAAACGAGTCCTGAACGGCCTTATTGAAGTGTAACAGGGCGGGAATTCCAAAACACTGGATTATGGGACTACAGACTGGGATAAAGCTACAAAGACACGCAACTGACCATTGAAAAAAAGCTCTTTAAGCGCCATCCATTTGACCTCTGAACTGGAGGATCCACAAGCCTGACACTGAAAATCAACAATGATTCAATGTCTAATTTAAAGAGGGAAATAAAGGAGGTGGATCTGCATGCACCAGGGTTTCTGCAGGTTCTATGAATTTAAGATTTAAGAACTTTTTAAAACCAAGTAAAGAAAATTTAAGGAATAAATAGAAGGGGACACAAAAATCTGCTAATGGGATCAGAAAAATCAACTCAATTCAAATGGAAAACAAGATCATTTTTTCTGACTTCACTGGCAGATATTTGTTCTTGTTTTAAGCTTAAACTCACTTCATTTTGTTTCATTTCTCACAAAACAGGACTTCATATGTTCATTCTGCATCTCAAGTAAATGTATCTTGATTTAAGGATGTTTAGATATTTGTTTTGGAAATCAAGACTAAAATACTGAGGTAGATATTATTATTTATTTATTTTTATTTTTTTGCAGCACATGCAACATTTAATGCCACGACTTTAAGAAATTAAGGCTTTCTGCTCTGGTTTAGGACCTTTTTAAGACCTTCATTTGTGGAAGGCCGAATTAAGAGTTTTTAAGACCATCAGAAACCCTGATGCACTGATGAACAATAAGAGCAGAAAACAGGTTTTAATACAGTAAATAGAGTTGATTTTGATTTCATATGAACTAAAATGCAGTAAACGCTTGTACACTGAAAAAAGAAAAAAAAATGAAGATGTACACAAAACACATTACTGGAGTACATTTTATATTACAAATCTTAAAAAAAATTTTTTTTAATTTAGTTTAAATTCAGTGTGTTACTTGTTAATTATCATTTACAAGCAATTTCTGAGTAAAAACTGTTTCAAAGTAAATGCCACACCAATTTCTTTCACTGTAAATCAGTCGTACCAGGATTGATCAATTTATTTGTATTTTTTATTTATTGATTGATTTTTTTTTTGCTTTCAAAATGACTGATTTTGAGGTGGTAATTTAGCGTCAAGCTGTGTTGTTAAATACAATAAATAAATAATAATAAAAATATTATTATATAATAAAAATATTATTAAATTATAAAAAGCATTCCAACTACTATTAAAATTAAAACTATTAATGATTTACTTAAAAAAGTTTAAATAAAATAAAATAAGTACTGCATGAAAAACTCAAACGAACATTTGAAATAAACAGGTTTAAGTTGAAGTACTAATTTCCAGAGTTTTATAGACAATTTGCTGTTATTTTCATAATTAGGGTACCACATTTACCATATTATGTATTACACAAGATACTTCATACTAATCATACTTTGTCGTGGCGATTATAACATCAAGCAAGACCCACGCTTCATTTACTTACTCATGCATGTTTCTTTATCAGACTAACGTGTCAATAACTTTAAGCAGTACTGTGCTTTTTGTGATTCAATGGCGAAATATGCACGATCACAAAAAAGACATTTTGTTGATTTGCACTGGGTTTGGCAGGAAACATTGGCGGCATTGGTAAAAGCATGCTCAACACTCACATGGGGTTGGAGCGTCGGCCTCCGCGGTTTCCCTTTCTGCCGATGACAGGAGTGCCAAAGTGTTCGGGGTTTGTCAGAGGAAGCCTGTCGAGCGTCTGGAAGAGAAACACACCAGATTCACCAGACAGCACTACAATAAAAAATAAAACCATAACAATACAGCAGGGTTTCTGCAGGATTTTTAAACTCAAATTTAAGACCTTTTTAAGACCTGCACAAATAAAATTAATACCATATGAGCGGGGTAGGGCAATGTCTATAGTACCATATTAAACTGTAAAATTACTGTAAAAAGCATAATTTACAGTTCAGATACAAGTTTTCACTAAAACAAAAAGTTTTATAAAATGATAAACTTTATATTTCAGCCTTTAAACCATTTTTAAGAAAATGGATGAGTCAAAAGTATTAATTACTATATTAATTTAAACAATTATTAACGATAAATTATTATATCAATTAAATAACATAAATTAGGGGTGTGCAACATTGACATGAAATTATATCTCGATAATTTACAGGGATTTTATCGATAACGATAATTAGACAATATTTTGCTGAATGCGTTATTGTGCTGACAGCTGACTCCTGAATTTTTTTATATTCTTCATATTATGTGTGGTCAGTTCACAGCACTGACAGAAATTAATCATTTCCAACAAGTTTTATGGGCATTTTTAC